CTTCCTAATGTGACTTTTTTGCAGTTATCTTTGTATTATTTCCTGTTTTACTTTAATAGTTGTTTCTTGTCCATTGCTTTTAGTTGTATTTCCCTCCTGGTCTCATTGTATAGATTTAATTTAGCTGTGTCTCGATACCCTTCTGTTTCCACCCTCCCTTTGTGTATCAATAGCCCTGCCTTCTATTTCATATTTGTCGCTCAGCTGTTGTACTTTCCAGTGTGTTTACCTTGTGTACTCCTGTGATTGCTTTGGGTTTCACTTGGCTTGTTTTTGGACTTTGTGTTTTCTTCAATAGCCTAATAAAATGTCTTGCTTTTTATTAATTAAGTTTCTCTTCTGTGTCTTCCATCTGTGTCATGATATTGCAATCTCTGAGAGAAATGTTTTGGTCAAAAAAATAAAGCTGCTGGAGCTCTGACCCCATTAGACTTTATGCTCTTTGCTCTGGAATTAGGTGAATTTGTGCCAGAAACCTCTAGTCTGTTTCTGCGGCCTTTGCCAATGAAAAATTTAAAAAAAGAGTAAAGCTAATAATGATGGTACTAGCTTTCAAAAAAGAAATTAACTGAATCATGTAGCAAAGGTCTACAATTTTCCCTAAGGGGCACTAATTGAAGACATTTGGATGCAATTGGAGTAAAACTAAGTAGCTGTTGGGTTATTTCACAGGATAATCGAAAGTTTTGACCTCCTGGCATTCCTCTTCTAGGATTCTGTTGAGACTTTCATGGCAATTTATCAAATAGTTACAGAGATATATGTCTAACTTTTAGTCCACCTATTGAGAAGAACACAGCCCACATCAGCTGGCCATGAATTTCTTGATAAACTCTCCAAATTTGTTTTTCATAGTCATGGATAAAAGCTGGTTTATTCTCCATTGATGCCCTCCTTGATGTCTCTCAGTCTGTGGACTCCAATTTAAAAACTCAAGCAGTGGATACTGAATATCATTGCCAAACCTTCCCATCTTTTTCATCTTATCAGACCTCCTCTTGCACAGCTCAGTCACACAAACAACACACACACAATCTCTAATCCCTCTGGGAAATTTGTGCTCACCCACCTGAGAACCGGTGATGGAAAAACATTACCCACAAAATATCAATAACTCCTATCAGGCAATCTGTCCCTGTTTTACTTTTGATGTTAAAAGGCATTAAAAAAATTTCTCTGTAATATCAGTCTTGTCCCAGATGTAAATTCAGACAAATACAGATAAAGACATATACACACACACAAACACACAGGCAAACTATTTGAAAGCGCACACTCACACATTTTAATTAGCAGCACTTTAGTGCAGAAAGCACTAAACCGTAGGCTAATTAATCTCCACAGTCTGTGTTTTCGCTGCGAAAACCACCTTAGGGAGGGGTCCAGGTTTGCCTCTACGTTAAGGAGTTTATCTGCTGGGAAACAGGAAACAATAAAGCTGAAAATATTATAAGGCAACAAGGGAAAGGCCATCAGATTAATATGCTGTTAAAAGTATTTGCTTATGCAGTACACTGATGGTCAAGTCCCGTGCCATGAATGTGGAATGTCAACTATCTCTGCTGGCTTTCTGTGTGTGTCTGTTTTGTGTGAATATGTGTATGAGCGTGTGTGTGTGTGTGTGTGCAGGTTATGTGTGAGTTCAGCTTGGTCACATACTGCTTCTCATTACAAATCCTCTCATGACTGTATGCAATTTGTGCCTCTGCTCTGTAGCCTTTTATCAGCAGGCAGGCCAAGTACCATCTCTCTCTGTCTCCTTTGGTCTCCATCATCCCTCCTCAGTGCATATTTGTCAATCACTCTGTTTCTTTATCTCTCGCTCGCTCTCTCTCTTTCTCATGCTGACATTTCTGTGGACCTAAAGTGCAAATTGTAGTAATTAGCCAAGAACATCTACAATTGTTTGTTTCCTGGGCGAATGACGTCAGTTCTGGCCATTTGAGGATAAGATGACTGGATTCTCTGTGCTCGTCGGAGCTGCTTGGAATATCGCAAAAGAGAAGAGAAACTCAAGAATGCAAAATCAGAGCATGAACCCACAAAGGTACTTCTAATCCTCCTGGCGTCTCAGCGGTAAAGGGCAAATGGCTGATCAGATTGCTGAAATTGAGGCTAGACATCCTGCAGTAATAAACCTGAGTGTGAGTGGGAGTAGATTGTCAAGATAAACTGCAATGGCAGTCTAATTTCACAAACAAAGCAGCAGTTGATTTGCCTTCATCCAGATGACATGTACAGGCTGTATTAATGTATGGATGGCTGCCTTTTTTTTGATGGATATGCAGGTTGATGGGGAAATGTGGGGCAGTGCAACTGAGATGATTCTGCCCAGTGCCTCCACCATACCCACAACCCCTCCCCCATTAAACACACACACCCACACACAGATAGACACACATCGGCACCATAATACTAATCCTCTTAAGTGTCAGTCTGAACTGTAGGGGCACAACAGGTCTTGTGCCCCCACTGTGTGTGCTGGCCTTATTTCCATTGCTCATTTCCTGCCCTGGGCAACACCTTTCTGCAGCTATTCTGTGACTCTTGTGTCCATCCAACAATGCCCCACTTCTATTTTTTCTGCTCTATTTCTCTAATATTTAAAAATGAGATATTTACTTCATTGGGGGCTTGAAATATGGGCGGTTCTAAGCAAGCACCTTTGTGGGGCATCAAAGTGGCTTTACTAAAATCTTCGCCTTAAACACAAATTTGCCTCAACAGAGATACTAATAACTCAAAAGTATACAAAATAGCAGTAATTCAGTAAGGACCACTTCAGTCAAAAGAAGTGTCATTTTCATCTACAGGTATTGGTAATATTTGGTAGTATTGCTGTTTTCTGGGACCCCCACAGAGTTGAGCAGACATCAACAACAACAAACATGCCATATCAGACACAGATATTGGGTTAAGATAGGTTGAAAAGTGTTTTGCAGATGGAGCAGCAGCTCTGGGTCATCTAAAGCAACTAACAGTGATGAGATCTGCCAATAGGATCTGTAGAGAGGTATGAATTTAGCCAGCAGCAAAGTCTGGGGCAGAGCCCAGCTGTCACTGACTGACGTACGGGAATTACAGAATTTGGTGCGTCTAAACTCAGGTAATGGTACATTCAATTTTACTGTTTTTGAAAAAAAAATCATGATCTGAGGGCAATTTAACCAAAGAGGAATGTTTCACTTCAAAATAGGTATTGTGTGTGTAGCTGAAATGTATTTTTTTTAATAGCCTGACCCCTGGCAAGACGTTACCACTTGGTTAGCCCTGAGCTTACTAACCATATGTATTGAAGCTGCTGGAGTAGCACACAAGCAAATCAAAATGTTTTTATGGAAATTCTATAAATAGTGTAACTTGGCTCCATTTTGAATACTCAAAATATTTTTGCGACCCAATCCTTTAGCACTTCCCCCACACACCTTACACTTTTTTTGTTTTTACGTCTTGGCTTGTTTCTCTTATTATCTAATCCAGCTTCTCTGACATTCACTCCGTCTGTTGGAGCTCATCTTGTCTATTGTTTAATGTCTAACAGGGAAACAGCAGCTGTTATAAAGGCAAAGCTTTTACTTGCTGCTTGAATGATGTGACTTACAGGCTTATCGACTCTCACCTCCACCTAAGAATTGTTATAATACAATGGCTTCTCAAGACTGCAGGTCTTGCTGCCAGAAATGAACTGACCAGCTGACTTTTATAGGAACAAACTATAGAAAAAAACCCCAAAAACTTTAAAGTATCTGGAGTCCCAGCATCAGCTGGATGCTCTCTGTTGATTGAAGAACTCACGCATCATCTCACCTAAAGCTTCTGAAACAGTATTGAGTCAGTCATTTAAACAACAGCACATCAGTGCTCTGGTGCTGCTGCAGTGCAGTTCAATTTTATTTGTGCCAGCTGAGAGGTCTTCATAGTGTGAACAACACCTTGAAGGACTGACTCACTCCCCTGGCTGCAATGTTGTTTATCTTGCAGGGCAACATGAGAGCACAGAGACGGCATTAACACAAGAAATGGGCAGTTAGCTTACAAATGTCATTTCTGAAGGCTGGAAGAGGAAAGCACGTGGAAGTGTTTAACTACGCAAAAATTCAGCACTCTGAATGATTTATTTGTTCCATTGTGATGAGCATACAGTCTAAGATTTGTGATGGCATTTAAATAACAAAGATCAGGAAAGAAACATCAGCCAAAAATGATATTTTCCCCAATACAGGCAGGCTCTTGCTTTATTTTAGAGTTTAGTCAAAGTACAACAAAATAGCCCTAACATTTTACCACTTATCTTCCACAAAGAAACATATTTAAAGTAGCAACAATAGCATTCATTACAGTGAATCCAATTGGCATGAATGTAGCTGACGAGGAAAATGCTGTTAAATGAGCAAAATAAAATCAGATACTTTGCTTCTAAAATGCACTTGTGGTAGTTATGCTCGCACACACCTTCATGGTTCTTCACTCAGTCTTAAAAAAATCTAATTTTAAGCTCTTAATTTGCCATCATTCACTAGAATTCCTTTTCAGCATTACCGTGCATACAGGTTTTTCTCATCCATGGCAACAGGAAGCAGCGTCAGGCAGAAACGTTAAACAACGACTCCGCATGTCTGCTGGACAACACTGCCTTTGTTTCATCTCCAGACATTCTGCTTCAACATGGTTCCGCGCACTCGCGCACTCTCCGTCAATACGCCGCCGTGCCATCCCTGTTATTAGAGCCGTTTCAGGAAATTAATTCCACTTTAATTCCAGGGACTAGACAGCACTTCCACTATCACAGCTTCCTCATGTCCAGAGGCTTAGTCCAATTTGCCATCATTTCAAAACAAAACAAATATGTAAACAGCTTATAAAGTATGCACACACGCAACAAAAAGGAAAGAAATCCAAAGCATTTGTTTCCACAGTGCAGTGTTTCTTTTTTCTCACTCCTCTGCAGTGCAAAAAAGGAAAATACGAGAAAAAAAAGCATCAAATAATAAATAGACTTTCTCTTTCATATATATATTTCTGTGTTTATACATATATATATATTTGTAATGATAGGTCTCTACATGAGCACACAGCTCTTGGCCCGGTCCTTCCTCATGGCCGGGGCCTGGTCTATTTGCTCAGTCCGACCCGGCAGAGGTGGAAGGGGCAGTTGCGAGACTCGTTTCAGGCCTCTGCGGGAGCTGCTGCGTTTAAGCTGCGGCTTGTGCGGCCGTCGCACTGACGCCAAGGTGGTGATGTGGAACACATCCCGAACACTGTTTTCAGAAACCTTGGAGGTGCACTCCACATACGCCACCGCTCCCATCTGACGAGCTATCGTGCTTCCCTGGAACATGGAGACGGGCAAAGAAGAAATGAAAAAGGAAGCAAAGCTAAATTTGAAAGTACAAGAAGAAGAAGACAGGGAAAACACGCATCATTTTAACAATCAGAAATCATATGGTGTAAATCCTCTTAACATTCGTTGTCCTCTCTTCAGTGATTTTGAGTACTTGTGCATTCTTCTTTTTTTTGTATGTGAAATCCTGAATATCTCTCAACAGTGGCTTTTCATTAGTTTCCTCAGGCTTTAAGAGGTCGTGTAAGACATAAGTTTCCTTCATGTCATTTTTCAGTGTTTCAAAAAGAAAATTAAATATCCCCATATGCACTCCATCCTTCATTGTTTCTTGGCATAAGCAGACACTATAGCTCAACAGCAGAAAACTAAATGTTCCCCAAAAAAGAGGCAGCAATTCTGAGATATAGATGTTGATCTAAACTGATGACTGAAAGCCAGCGATCTGAACATGTCTGTAGATAAATGAATTTCCTCCAACTGAAGCATGAATAATGTAGATGCTGACTCCTCAGTCTGCAGTAAAACAAAAGGATGGGAATCCGCTGGGCCAGTTTTGATATGGTCTATGAGGCTATTTACAGGGAAGACATTCACACTAGGTACCAGAGCTTACCCCTGAGTAAACTTACAATAACTGAGTTATTTTAAATTGTAAATTGTTTGCTCGTGATCAAATCAGACACAAATTTAATTTGAAAACCCCTGAGCCCCTGCCTTCACTACAGTACTACATAGCCTCATCTGTTGTTTAATGATCAGAGTTTAAAGCTGTTTTCACACAGGATCAGCACATGCCAAGGATCTAACAGATGAGACAGAACTGCATTTCCCATGACCCCTACAACTGCATGTTCTCCAGCACAGAGAAAGCTTTTCATCTCAAGTGGAAGTGGTTTGATTTTCATCACAGCTGCACTGAGGCGTGTATAAGAAGCGATGAAGGCCTCATTAGGTGAAACAGCAGATTTAGATTCCAGGGTGGCGGTGGGAGGGGAAAGAGGTAGATTGTAGTGACAAGTGGAAATGCTCGATCGAATCTCGGGCAGATTAGTGTGGAAATGTCTGGAGTTCACCCAGTGGTCATTCGCAAGGCGACTTCTCAGCTCTGTTGGAATTCAATTTAAAGATCAGCAACAGGATAGCAACACAGGCTATTAGATTAGAGCACCGAAATGTTTATTGTGCACAGCTTTGGCATCTGCCATGTGACACACATTTTCTGGGCATATTAGAGAGGCAAACAGTAGGTGTCTCAAACCAAAAGAGAGACTGAGAAGGACCATGACAAATGTTTTCTATGGTTCTAGCCAGTAAATGGTCCCAGCTATTTTACAATACCTCCGTGGTTTGTCACTCTTCTTTTGTTTATGTGTCTTATTTATATGACCTGTCTGTTTTTTTCAGTTGCTGAGTTTTTTTAGAAACAGCATGCTTTTAGCCTCCAGTAAGCTCTTAGACAGTAGCGGGAAAAAGGCTCCTTTGTTTTGAGGGCTTTTGTATGGTGGTGAAAAAAGCCCCTCCACTTTTTGTATGTCGAACACAGGAGAGCACACAAATTGAACACACTGAAAGCTGATTAAAATTCACAGATTTACAGAGCAGTTTATCATCCCCTCCCTCTTTTCCCCCATCCCCTTGGCTTAGAGGTCATGGCAGCATGTGATAAAAGGACTCACTCATTTATCAATGTCCATTTTCTATTCATCCTGCATTTTGAAAATCTGTAAATCTGCATGAATATTTCATTTCAGGGGGAAAAAATTTTTTCCCTAGACATAAACTAGACTAACCACTTGTGCTTCTTCCGCAGCCCTTGCCATAAGCAACATTACATTCCCTGTCAGCAAATTTTGGCCAAAACGCCAACCCCAGCAACATGTCCCCGAGGGGTTTAATGCTGTTCTAATAGCAGTCATGTGGTATTTTATTGTGTTGCATGAGCCTTTTCTCACACTCCTTTCCTGTGGGACCGCAAAAGAGAGGTAATGCCTCTGCTGATACAACACAGAAAAATCTCATTTTATCGCTTTATTGCTTTCTAATTTCTTTTCCACATCTGTTTTCAAATCTGTCTGTCTTCCCAGGGCACCTTGCAAGTCTCAATCTTATTATTTATCTCACTCCATTCTCCTCTAATATCCATCATCTGCTAGCTCTCACCTGCTCGTGGGTGACAGGGATGAGGCGCTGTTTGGAGAGTTCCCTCAGGGTGTTGACATCTGTCCTCATGTCCAGCTTACAGCCCACCAGCACCACCTTGGCATTTGGACAAAACTCTTGCGTCTCTCCTTGCCACTGCAGGAACGTGAGCCGACAGAGAAAAACTGAAAGACACTCTTGATTATGCCAAACATGAGCACTGAGCGCTGAGCTGCCTTTGCTGAAGTACAGAGATGACCTTTTGGCTACTCAGACACTGGATACCTGAGTTTGAGGGAGATTAATGCTCTCTTGCTAAAAGACATTTGTTCAGCTTAGCAAACACAGCAAAAACAAATGCATAACTTTGGTGTGTTTTTTTGTGGGAATTTAAGTCCAGCCTTCAAAAGGTTGGGGATTTTGGTTCCCAGTGACCTTTCTTGTGTCATTTTGTTCTCAGCAAATTACTCAATATAATTCAGTAAAGACTTTTTAACTTGACTAATCCATTCATCAATTGATGTCAACAAAGCCATTCATCAGTCAGCAAAACTAAATATTTTGTTCCAGTCATTTGTCAACCACAAATGCCAGAGGTTGTGTTAAGCTTCTGCTGGATACTGCTGTATGATGAATATGATTTTTTGTTTTACTTTTGTTTGAGATAAACAAACATTTTTGAAGACAATCCCCTTGGTAATTGTACCAGGTGGAATGAAAAAGTTCAACTATTCTGCCAGTAAACATCAAGCATCCTACTTTCTTTGAATTTGTCGTCACCACTTCCAGCATGGCTGCTATTTTCAGATATTGCTCCTTTTAAGTCCCTTTTTGTGCGCTGAATCCCCTCACTGTGTCAAAATGTCAACTCTTCAGCTTTCATTTCTTTTTGCAGTAGAGGACAAAGTTGCGGGAAGCCAAATCTGGCAAGCAGTGTGGATGAGCGATTATTGTGTTGGTGTCGCCAAAAAAACTTATCACTGTTCTGTGTGCTGGTGCACAATGACACAGTGACGAACCCCACAGTTCATATGCTCTTCTTCAGACACCTGAGAACATTGAGAGTCTGACCCAGGGAAATTAATTTACAGCGCACAATTCCGAAAATCTCAAAATTAAAAAAGGAAAAATAAAACAATGTACATTCTTTTAGTTTGTACATCTGGCCTTTATGAACTGCCTTTTGGCTTGGACACTGCAGATATGCAGATCTCATCAACAGGGAATATCCTCCACATGAAAGTCAGTTGAGTTTGATGTTTGATTTCCTCTCAAGTTTGGGCTCCATGGTAAAATCTCATATGAATAAAAGGGCAAAACAGCAGCAGTGCTGGAAGTGTTTCAGAGGTCTACAAACAGAAGACCTTAACGGTGCAATGTGCCAAATTTAAATTGGGTATGTTTGGGGTTTTTTGCATTTTTTGTTTTATTTTTTAAATGGGCAGATTTGTGAAATTTTACAAAAGCAGCTCATTATTGGCATTTTCAGCGCAAAACAGACAACTAATTAATCTTAAGTGTGATGGAAAGGGGTGATAACTGTAGATATTTATTTAAAGTTACATTCATTGTGGGTACATTTTACATTTTCAATTGTTTAATTAATGAATTGTCAGACTGTTAAAAAATTCATAAAACAAAACAAAAAGGACGGGAATGGAAAAATCGTGGCATAAAATCTGTAAATTATCATGAGTAAGAAGCTAAAACTAGAAATATTTGGCAGTTTTGCTTGAAAAATGGCTCAAAGATGAAGTGATCAGCAAAAAAGCCACAGATTAACTGGTGCTGTCAACAATCCAGGATTAATCAGGTAAATATTTTACCTCTAATCAGATTAAAGAGACTTCCTATTTTTTATGATACAAGGCAATGTTCACTATTTTACTGCAACAGCTATAGGGCCACGTACTGTGACTTTTTCACTCGTGCCAGCTTAGTTTGGACGTCTGTGTGGTGTGTTATACTTTTCTTACTCAGTCTCCATCAACAAAATCTATTTCAGGTTCTGTTCCGAAAAGGTTGAGCAGTCTTCCTTCTAAAATCACCCTGAGATTAAATGTCACTACTGAAACTCAGCTGAACCAACACAGTGTCTCCTCCTGGCAACACAAATATATGACAGCACTGAAATATTCCGCATGCCATGTGCAGAATGTCAGGGTGTCCATTCATCCCTTGTACCGAAAACAACCTCTGACCTTTCAGGCACATCCCCATTCTGTCAATGACATCCAATCAAAACCTTTGATTGTTTAACCCTCTTTCCTCCCCCAGCTGTCGTCTAGAAATATTGGTGACCCCCCCCCCCTAGCTCCTGGAGGTCAAGAGTCTAATTTAGGATGGTGATTGTGCAACAGGTTTTCCATGTGCGCCTGAGTTTCAGGGATTATTGGGATGACAACTAGGGGGCAGGGGTCATGGCAGCCCCCTGCCAAGTGATGCATGGGAAAAGCTAAAGCTGAGGAGCAGTGCTGCTTCCCCTGTTGACAGATTCCACGGAGGCTGGAGAGATATTGGCGGGTTAAAGAAATGGTGTCCCGGGTTAGATCTACAAAAGTCTGCAGGGGCATTTTAGCAGCTCCCTTCAGACCACTAAACACGTCAACAGACCAGCCATGGGAACTGTCTTCAGCCCACAAGGGGTGCAGTTCAAAGGCAAACTCACACACACATGGCTTCAAGATGAGACACCACTAAAAGGCACAGGTCTGCTTTTCGTGATACACATGCATGCAAACAGACCCATTAAGTTGGGTATAATTACACCATGGGTGTTTCACTATACTATGTGGGCACACAATCTGCCACTGGCTGTAAAAACACGTCCAAAACCACATTTGATGACGCCACCCGGCTATTACAACCATCCCAACTGCACTGTTCCCAGCCATTAGCCACCTTGCAAATGTTAACAGACACCAACAAGTGAAGTATTCAGCATAAAACTCAGATTTTATATTTTAAATGTTCACAGAAAGTCTGTTTCTAACACTCCTCAACATTCTCTGAAATGTCTTCTCTGATATGTCTGGTGTGTCTAATATGCGTATCTGATATTCCTCTTGAACCCACCCGGCTGCAAGCCCTCTTATTTCATTCTTCGCATTGACCTTGTATTGCTTGCAGGGACACGGGTCAAGTATCCATGGACGTTTTGATGAGATAAAGGAAAGCGAGACTTTAACCTCAGTGCTGATTTGCTCCATTGTTAAGCCGTGAAAAGCTGCTGGCACAGAAATCTAAGTCGATACAAGATGCTGATCAGGAAAAAGTGAATTGAATTGGTTTTTCGTTGGTTCTCCACTTTCACTGCGATATTAAATGCTGATCCAAAGTATTGAGGGGGGAGTAAAAAATACTGACCTTCTTTATGACACTGTCCAAAGTCTCTGGACGGCTGATGTCGAAACAGATAAGCACTGCATCTGAATCAGGATACGCCAACGGCCTCACATTATCGTAATAAGAAGAACCTGTGAACACACAATAACATATGGTGTAAGGTCATGGTGTCTTTGGGGAAATTCCTAACTGTTTTTAACCTGATTTAACCCTGCAAGACTCTGCATCCCAACCATATGGCCTACTCTGTCAATTAGAAACATACTGCACACCCCCCGGAAAGTGATCCAAAGGTCATTAATACATGAATAGCCCATTAAAGCAGGCGGTGTGGCACACACATCGACATGCTGCAGCTCGAACACACTCTCCAGATGTAAATGAACCTTGATCTTAGCAGTTATGTGCACATATTTGTGCATCTTTTTCTCTTGGGCTTCCACACAGCTGTGCCTCTTCTGTCACAGTACTTCAGGAGGAATGTTAAAGAGTTAGTCATAGCAGCACACACACACATACACACGCATACACACAAAGGTGAATTATAGTGGCTTGAGAATTGGAGGACTGGTACATACGATCCATAATCATCTTGAAACGACAGCGAATGCCAGCACAAAGGCCAAACTAAAGGTTGAACCCCTTAATTCTCTCATCTCATCCCTCTTTCTGTCTCACTTGCAAATGGTCCTTGATTTAAAATCTTCCATTTTCTTTTAGACTCTATGAGATTCACATGCGCTCACACGCTTCTCACCACTCTTGCTTTTCAATTTTGTACCTTGATCAAATTTGAGGGCAGAGTGGCGCCTCTGTACTTCCACAAGTTGCTCACTTCCACAGTTCCTGCTCTCTTGCAGCTCTCATTAGGAGGCTTGTAAAAATATCTGGGCTCTCGTGGATGTGTGGCTGCGGCCACGGGCACCCTCCCTCCTACCGTCAGAAGCTGCTGTAGACCTTATGTTCTGCATAAATTTCAAGCCTCCATAACTCAAAGGTTTGTCACATTGTGCATCAAATTTGCCAAAATTAGCAAATCACATTACACCGTAAATAAATATTAAACGCTTTGGAAGATTAAACATATGATTTAGGTTCATACAAGCTGATGATTTTTAATATTTATACAAAACCAAAGTTTATGTTTGTTTGGTGTGTCTGTGCTTCATACCAAACCTGACCTGCCACACAATAAACAGACTGTTAGAGCTGCATGCTTTAGTCTGGTGTTCTGCACAAAAGCACTACACCCCGCATCACTATGTTCTCTTTGTTAATGACGGAATGAGTATGTGACAATAGCTGCACGCGGCCCGCAACCCCATCATTCAGCTTGCTTTCCTGTAGTGACCTGCTCATTGCTCTTTGAGAACAATGCAACAGGCTGCCTGTCACATCCTCACAAGCTGGAATGGTTTTGTTTACTGACATTTGTTTGTCACTAAAAATCCATATTAACATCAAACGCTTAAAAAAATGACCTGAAATATCAATTAAATCAGAGAAAAAACAAGTATGCTTTGTTTACAGTGGCTTCAGATTTCTCTTGGTTTAACACTACTGACTTTGATATCATTGTTTATACAAATTGCTACCCCCTACAGCTGGCAATAATACATATTACCACATTCTCACAGTGTGGTGACTAGATAGTGCGTTTCAAAATAGCATTCAATTAATTTTTTATAAAATCTTGCTCACCACATGCACACAACCATTTATCTGCTGGCTGACTCTTTAACACATGAATGATGCTTGTCAAAAGAAGATTATTGTTTCCATTTACAGTAATTTGTAGTTCTTATATGGCCCTGTTTAGGACCTCCCTGCCCTTCTGAATAGTTGGAGGTGGGAGGAGGAACAGTAGGAACCCAGCACAGACAAATAGAGGTGGGTTGCAAGTGAGCTTTCAAGTGGATTGTAACCACAAGTAGACTACAGCAGCTTAAAAAACCAGTAATACATGTGTTTTGTTTTGTTTTTTAAATTTGATGCATAGAAACCAAGTTTAGCTGCAGCACTGCACTTCTGAGCTAATGGCATGTTTGATCAGCTTTGCACATCCTCATGCACCTGGACATAGAACAGAAGACACAAATAATACATTAAATCTAAATTAGGAATGCTCTCAAGCAGCAACACCACAACAATTGAACTCTGCAAAATCCTTAAGGATGCTGGGCAAAATACATTTAACAACATTCCTTTGCTAACTTTAAAATATTTATGTTGCAATTTCAGTGCAATATACAGGAAAGAAAAAGTAATTTTAGCCTACACCTTGCAGGGCATTATCAGGAATTCATAGTCTCCTCTTCATCTTATTAACACAATATTGCTACAGTTCTGTATTGCTGAGAGAGCAGGACTAACACAAGCACACACAACCACATCCCCAGAAAAGGATGCCAAGTCCGACACTCAGCAAAGCTCACTTTGTAAGACAGCAAGCTGTGATGGGTAGCGGTCACACATGAGGTGCTGTAGCTGCTGAAGTCAGTCTTTAGTATGTATCGCAGTGCAGCAGACCTGTACTAAGGTTAGAGATGAAGAAGAAATGAGACACCCCTGTGGGGGTGGAGTAGGGACAAAAAAGATTTAATGAGTTTGATGCCGGAGCTAGGGCGTGTAGCGGTTTTTTGCAACAGAGAGAGAGAGTAGCAACCACGGGATTAAAGCAAAATCAAGATGAAGAGAAAAAGACGTCAGATGAAGCAAAGTTGAGACAACAGTACTAGTTTAACTCAACATGTAATTAGAAGCTGAAATGAGGCCATTGGGATCAATTTGTCAGTCCCAAAGATCAAAATGATTGACAGGTCATGGTCACGGCAGGGCTTGTCACAGCACAGCAATTCAGAGCTCCTCTGCCCTGAACGACAGGAAAGCTACCTCAGCACTTTTGCAAAGTCGGGGAAAAAAAGTCCTCTGGGCGAGCGGAGAAAAGTGCTGTGTTTAAAAGAAGCCGAGCAGGCACAAATAAAAACCAATCAACATAACAATCAAGAGCACGAGGGGAAAAAAAGGGAGAAAGCATTTTCTCCTGCCATTTCTCCAACAAAAAGACATGACCAGAGATAAAAGAAGATGTCACTGAGGGTAGGGTTGGAGTGGGTGTTTGGGTAGGTAATGAAAGCACTGGACTCGGCAGGACAGATCAAATAAAGAGGTATGAGAGCTCTGGCTGGGTTGGCTATTGGTGAAGTTGGCCTGTGCCCATTCACTGTGAGGTGGAACAAAAGGTCAATTGAATTTCAGACATAGGCAGCATGAGATGGATGGGCCAGAAGAGTGTGGGAGGGGAGCGTAGCCTGGCAGGAACCACTAAAAATCATCACGCCTGGCAAGAAGCGGGGCCCTGCCACGCCGTGCCAAGGACAGGCATAAAACACCCCTCACAAAACCTCCTTAAACATTAGCATTAGCCTAGCATTAGCCTAATTTAGTACAGGAGATCTCTCACAGTGGAAAGTGGATTTCTGCATTTATATCCACAGGACTAATTAGTGCAAAGCCACACTGCAGAACCACACAAGAGGTTGCACCTAAACATAATGACAGAGTTAGGAGGAAAGCAGTCCTTGTCTGCCATCACTTGAGCTTCATCAAAGGCCAGAAATGTCCCAGAGGATGCTGAGGCGGACAGGAACTTAGTGGAGCGCTAATGTACAGTAATAAGACTTGAGGGTTTGCGGTATGACTTCATTTATGCCTCCTGTCCCTTGACACATCGACTCTCCTGTAGGGACAATCTATCTGAGACATGACAGCTCTCTATCTGCTCATTCAAAAGCTCTTCTGTGAAAAACTCATTTTCTGATAGAGCTGAGAAGGAAAAAAAACACAATAACACACAAACAGAACATGCAACAGGGCAGATTCTTTGGGAATCCAACACTTCAAAAAACCTTATATTTTTCAATACATTAATCTGTAATATCACAGCGGGAATGATCTCCTTTCTGTTTTTGTTGCATGCTTATTTCAGGCGCAGCTAAAAAGCCAACCATTATGAGTGTGTGTGTGTGTGTGTGTGTGTGGGGGGGTCTTTGCCTCTAAGCTCTCTGATGTGTTCATGCACATATGGCAGGGAGTCAACAGCAACTTAGAGCCTCATTAGGCCATATAGAAATCCTGAAAAACACCCATGCAGACAAAGGCAGGGTAACGAACACCCTCCCAAATGTCACCAAATCGCCAAATTAGTGAAAACGGGATCTTTTTTCTTCTCCTTCAGCTGTTTTCCTCTTCAAATCCACCTTCAGTGTGAAGGGAAAACATTTTAAGTCGCGGTGGCAGAGTATCTTAGCAACCTGGGGGATGCAAATGGCTTCATTGCGAGGCCTTAGAAAGGAAGAAAGAAAGAAGAGAGCAGGAGACTGAAGGCACTTCAGTGCATTGCTGATTAGAGGTGACTAAAAGGAGAGTTGGTGCTCCAACCTTTAAGAGGTTGAGAAGACTTTCAAACACTGAAGCTCCAAGCTGTGTTGTGATTTCTTCTCAATTAAGGCTCAGCTCAAATAGAAATAAACATACAGCTGCCAAGACACCCTTTGAGAGGAAGTAGTTACTCTGACCTAATGTAGCCTACTACTGTACAAGACAGCGTGTGCTTTATGTGAATGTAAGCCTGCGTTCTTTTTGAAGTCCACATCTTGAAGCCATACAGGTGCGCATCGAGCCACTGACCTTATCTAAACTGTCATGCAAAAAAATCTAACCAGTAGATAAAAGTACGACATATATTGCAAATTCGAGATTTTTTTTTACCTTTAAATATCATCTGGTTTTTCATAAATACATATTCAGAAGTACTGTCCAGCACGTTTGGATAATTTATGTTACATTTTTGATAGAGCCCGACCAGTATAGGATTTTTAGACCGATATCAATGCCGATATTTGGTGATACAAAAATCCAATATTCTGATATATCAGCCAGTATTTTTATTCCCTATTATTCAGATACACAAAGCAAACTGGTTCCTGAACAATTTTTATGTGTATTTATTTAGTCTTTTTTTTCCCAGGTGGATATTGTGTTTGTAGCATTCCAAACACATCACCAAAGAGGGAAGCTGCAGAGTGCCCTCTTGTGAATAAACTATGCAATGTCAACACTCCTAACACGA